AAGGGTCTCCGGTTCTCTACACTCACCATACGAAACACAGCAGTTTTGAGCTGCTATTTTACGCTGGTTTTCTGTGAGAGCGTGGTCCTTCCCCGTTCGCGCCGACCCATTCGTGCTACAACCATAATATAGCTGCAGCATGGCTCTACCACGTAGAGAACGTTTGGCTCTATCACGTTTGAGTGGAATTGAGTTTTATTTAAGTTACAAAATTTTACTGTGCTATGTAGGTATATCCCACTCCTGGGCACAAACCTCCTTTCATTTCTGAGAGGGTTTAGAGCAAAAGTGTTCACTGCGCTGCCCCAATGCATGTTGCCAGACTTCACATGTCTTCGAAATATTTTTTATTTTCTCAAACATACAGTTATCCATACCGAGCCAAAACTTACCTCTTTATAACATTGGTGCCTTGCGGTGGCGACATAGATTAATGATTGAATGAAAATGACTAAGATTTCATCACCCCATTTCGTTCCGTAAGTGTAATCAGTAAAAGCGGTGCCTATGAAAAACTCCGATAGACGGTTATATAACCATCTCGTTTAAGCCATCCTTAAAATATCCAATTCAGCGGAGAGCAATTGTATTAAAGGTTTGGTAAGCCACCAAGCGAAGCAATGGCGCAAATTATCTGTACAACGGAAGGTATTCACGTACAGCAGTGAACTTTTACGCACTGTTGAAGAACAAATTAAGGACTTTTGTTCATCAAGGACGTTCAATTTTCACCTTGTAATGACGGTGTAAGATAATACCCACTAACCAATATAGTCCCGGGGGTGTCGTAAACCGCATCCGATGAAAATAAAGGCAGCGTCTTCATTTTTAGAGCTAAAAATAAAAAATAAGCTGCGGTTGAATAAAACTACTTTAATTTATCGCGTTTAATTGAACTTATTTTTATTACCCGACTATACGGGTGCTTTCCAGCACCCATGGTTACGGGGGACTGAGGTGAATGACGAGGAAAAAACTGAAAAATACTTCTTTAATACAAGTTTTTTTATTGAATAAAGGTGATAAACGAGCACACAGTCCACCTGATGGTAAGTGGTTGACTTATTCCTTGACTTTATTCCTTGAGTTCATAAAAAAATATATTGCATTTTTTTTCAACCGGCGAAAAGGCTTTTGTCAAGTTTATACGGCGCTAGTTGACTTACGGTTTTATCTTTTATTTATTAACTTGTGCTTGATCCCGATATTCTATATTCAAGAAACGTTTCGTTCTCTTTACGATCTGCTTTATTACATACGAAGTGCACGTAAAAATTGTTTATATTTGGAACAATTTGTTCGGCAACTTACGTCGATATAAATATAAAACAAGTATAAGCCATCGCATTAAATATAATTGTGGTTTAAAAACATATAAACCACATTTTGTCTTATAAATGTTTTATGCTTTTTTGCATCGTAGAACGCATAAGTAATAAAAAATTTCTTAAATGTAGAAACCGATCATTAATGCTTATGCAGCGTGAATTTTTCGGTTAATTCCTTCATTCATTCATCCATTACAGCTCTACTCAAGTCCACTGCAGTTCCGCATTAGAATCTGACCCAATCATATACCTACTACCATTTGTTGATTTCCCGATTCCCGGTTTAATACCTACAACCCCCTTAAACTACATACATATGTGTAATGTGTATATCGTCTTATTACAAAAATTGGATTATAATTAGTCACAGGCTTAAACTGGAGTTTGATTCACGTAAAAATTTTAGAACTAAAATATAAATTGATAGCAAATGTTAAATTCTGTGAAAATTGTATAGCCGAAGTCTGATAACCGGAGGAAGGGACATCATTCGTGAGAAAGATTCTTCTTAAACTTAAACCATAGTCTAAAACCACTATCACTAAACTTTTTTTATAATAAGACAGAAATAGATTGTAATTCTATTAATTCGTAATGTCGTAATCCCATTAAGTTATAAAATTACTCTAATTGACATCAAAACGTTCTCTTTCTCGTCTTTGAAATTATAATTGCGAAATGTGGAGTAAGCAATAGAAGCTTGAATAATTTAAAACTTTTCGATTAGTATTGGATAAGGAAATTGTCGTTGTTGGGATAAATTCCTTTAATAATTAAAGTAAAAGCTTCGAGACTTATTTGTGAAATGTTTATATAACAACTTTGTCATTATAAACTTCGTGGAGTATGTATGTTGACGGTAGGGACCTTCTTGTGTGTTCTTTAAATTCAGTTTCATCATAATGTTCCAATTTATCTTTGTCAAACACGTTCATTGTTTACAGACTTAGAGCCTTACTAAGCATCAGACAACTAAAAGAGATAGCTCAACAGGCCCAGTCCACACTTTCAGTTTTAATACTGATCTAAAGGGGCTTTTTACGCCTGGATCAATCTACTAACATCGACCTAAATGTAGTCGATGACGGTCGAGCATTGTAATGTTCATTTAACAAGTGTCAATATCTGTTTGCAGGCGGTGATAACTGATAAACCGTATGCTGACGCTTAAGTCATTCTGCGAGTGAAGTCACGCTACGAGTGCTAAGACTCCTAGAATGACAGTGTCGTGGTTCTGTTCGTGGTAGTAATTCTTCTAGTGCAGGCAAGGAAGGATCGTGATGCTGGGAGGCTGCTCAGTCTTAAAATGAAATTGGAAGTATTGCTGTTGGTTTGCATACTTTTTGGTGTTGTCATGTAATTGTGACTGGGACATATTATGTTATGGCCGAACTATAATTTTTCTATACTGAATATTTTTTATAGGATAGGGTGACAAACGAGAACACAGTCCACCTGATAGTAAGCGGTTGCTGTGGCCCATAGACATCTACATCTATCCTCGATTACGAATCAAAACGCAGATGCGTTTTCACCCCTGAGGACTAAGATGGAATGCCTCTTTTCCAATAAGAAGGGTCTCCGGATCTCTACACTCACCATACGAAACACAGCAGTGTTAAGCTGCCATTTTACGCTGGTATTCTGTGAACCAATACTGTGGAAATAGAAGAAAAGGATTATCATATAAAGATTAACAATATATTGATCACAACATTTTTAATTTTGGCATCAATCGTCCTGTTTGTTATCATATTTTTGAAGCTGAAATTAAAACATAAGAAATGGGTAGAAAAGAAAATTAATGCGGAATTTTTAAGAAGAATGACACTAACAGACGTGAACCGCGTAATGAAGAAGATGTGTAAAATTGTGTTGCCTTACTTTCTCCGAGTGCCCCTATGCCGTATATCCACATGACGACGCCTGTTTTTGGACTCTGCGCGTGAGCAGACAAGCAGCGTGAAACCGTGGTGTGTTTTATATTAGTGCAGTTCCCAAAAAGTGCATTTCCGTTTAGTTTTTACGAGAGTGAGTCAAACCTTTTTTTTTTCGTGACAATTATAGTGACATTGGTAATTTTATAAACTTCTTTTCGAAAATTATGTTTAATTTAGGTAGCATGTTTAATTTTGTTTCTCTATAACATTTAAAATAGTTTAAAAAATATGTGTTAGTTCTAAGAATTCCGACCGTTTCGATCGGTCGAGATACAATTCAGCATTTGTAATCGGTACACAGTATGACTGTGCTTCGTTTTAGAATAAAATTAAAATCAATTGAATGAAATATGAACCTAGTGCAAGTTAACTTTAGCTTCTATATGAAATTAATGGTATTATGGCTGAGAAAATAATAAAAAATTATGAGCAATTGTCAGAAATAAGGAAATATTTGATTAAAAAGGGACAAAGTAGGTTCTATTGCGTTAAATAAGTTGAATGAAGCCGAGATATATTTAAATAATAGTAAAGATATATTTTCTACATTAAGTAATATTAAGGATAAGTCGGAAATATCTTTAATTACTGAAACATATGACAAAATTTGTTCTTTATTTGCAGAAATAGCGAAATTTTGTGTTTCACCCAGCTTAGAGATGAAATCAGAAAACATGGATTTTGATTTGAAAACTGCTTGTAGCTTGATACCTCTTTTAGATGATAGGGAAGATACTACGAAACGATAGATTGATTCATAGTTTCAAGAATTTACCTATCGCCGTTGATGGAATATTAAGATTAGATTTTATGACTAGATATAAGGCTAAAATAGATTTAGAAAATAATTTGCTGACCCTGCAAATTGATGGTAAGCATTGTATTTTACCGATTTTCGATAAACCTGATTATAGCAACTCATTAGTACTCGCACCTCGAAGTGAGTCTATACATTATGTGTATTTGAATAAGGAGGTGGAAGAGGATTGTTTTGTGTGCGCGAGAGAGATAGAAAAGGATGTATTTTTGGCAGGAACTATTGTTCAACCGAAAAATAAACGCGTTCCAATTAAGATTTTAAATACCAGAGATGAGGAAATAAGATTAAACAATTTTACTTTAGATGTGGAACCTTTGAGAGAGTATAACATTTTTAAATTTGGTCATTGTAAAAGTAGCTCCAATAGGGCTAAATCTTTGTTAACTTTATTAGAACTTAATCATTTAAACAATGAAGAGAAAGAATCTATTGAAACCATTTGTTCTAAATATTCTGATATTTTCTTCTTACCAGGTGACAAATTAGAAACTACTAATATTTGCGAACATACCATTACATTAAAAAATAAAACTAATCCAATATATACAAAACAATATAGATTACCACATGCATTAAAAACTGAAGTAAATAAACAAATAACAAAGATGCTCGATGACGACATTATCGAGGAATCTTCTAGCGAATGGTCAAGTCCTATACTATTAGTATCTTAAAAGTCTGAAAGCTCACAGAAATGGCGTTTAGTAATCGATTTCCGTAAATTAAATGAAAACAGATGATAAATTTCTGTTACCCAACATAACAGACATCTTAGACTCACTATCTGGTTCAATTTACTTTACTCATCTAGATTTACAACCAGGATACTACCAAGTAAAATAAGCACCTGAAAGCAGAAAATACACAACTTTTTCAACTAGTACAGGATATTACCAATTAAAACGTTTACCGATGGGTCTTAAAACTTCCTGTAGTGCTTTCAGTAGGGTTATGTCAATAGCAATGTCAAGACTAGCGTTTGAGAAGTGTTTCATTTATTTAGATGACCTTATTACGTTTGGAAGGTCTTTAGCTACTCATAACCAAAATTTGATAGACGTTTTTGAAAGATTGAGGAAGGTAAATTTAAAACTAAATCCCGCTAAGTGTCAATTTCTAAAAAAGAAAATTTTATATCTTGGTCATGTAGTATCCGCTGATGATATAGCACCTAACCCAGAAAAAACTAAAGTTCTAGATAAGTTTCCAGTTCCTCAGAATGCCGATGAAGTAAGACACTTTGTTGCTTTTTGCAACTACTATAGAAAATTTGTACCTTCATTTGCTACCATAACAATGACTTTAAATAATTTACTAAAAAGGGATGTACCTTTCATTTGGAATTCAGATTGCCAAAATGCATTTAATTTCTTAAAAAACGCTTTAATTTCTCCACCAATATTAGAATACCCAGACTTTGGTGAATCCAATGAATTTATACTGCAAACAGACGCCTCAGACTTGGCTGTAGGAGCTGTGCTGTGTAATAAAAATAGAAAACCTATAGCTTATGCTAGTAGACCATTAAATAAAGCTGAAAAGAACTATCCCGTAATAGAAAAAGAATTAACGGCAATATTGTGGGCAGTTAAATATTTTAGAACCTATTTATTTGGCAGAGCTTTTACTATCATGACTGACCACAAACCTTTGGTTTATTTATTTGGAATGAAGGATCCATCTAATTAAACATCGTTTAATTCTTGAAGAGTACGATTTTAAGATTGTGTATGTGAAAGGTAAGAATAATGTAATCGCAGATGCATTATCCAGAGTGTGTATAACATCAAGTGAACTGAAATGTATGAATAATAATAATAATAATATTCCACAACTATCAAACAACGCCATCTAGTCCCAAGCTAAGCAGAGCTTGTGTTATGGGTACTAGACAACTGATAAACATACTTATATATTTCTAAATACATAAATATTATAGATAAATTACACCCAGACACAGAACAAATGATCGTGCTCATCACACAAACATTTGTCCTGGGTGGGAATCGAACCCACGACCTCCGGCGTAGCAGTCAGGGTCACTAACCACTAGACCAACAGGCCAGTCGAATGAGGAGGTTTTGGCAGTTGTAACGAGACAACAAAAGAAAAAGATGGAGCAGAATTGTACGGTAGAACAGACTGTGCTTAATAAGTACACTGATGAGTGGCCTGATCAACCACGCGTCGTGGAACTATTAAGACAGCCATGTGATTCCGTAGAATTGAGGTTGACTGACAGGGAAGTAATAGAAAAATTTAAGAAAGGAAATAATAAAGTGATAAAAGAAGAATGTTTTATGTATGTACCAAATAAAATGTTATTGTGTGTTTATTTTGGTTTTAAGTTGCATTTCTCGCGAGCCGAATTTGCAATTAAACTTAAAGAGTTTTGCGAAAAAATAAAAGTAAAAGAATTATGTATAGTAAAAGATGAAAAGAATACTGAGTTTATAAAAGGAATATGTAGTGAAGTTAAATCTTTGAGTGAATGGTCCGGACCCCGAATATGTGTACTGAAAGGAATAGAGAGAATTTATGAAGAAAACGAGAAACAATTTATTTTAAATGACTATCATTTATTACCCACTAGTGGACATGCTGGAATAACTAGAATGACGAATAATATTAGGAGAAAATACTATTGGTCAGGACTAGATTCGGATATCCGTAAATATATAAGTAAATGCGCATTATGTCAGAAAATGAAACAAGGTAAATATACCAAACAACCTATGACCTTAACCTCCACTGCGTCGACTGCGTTCGAGAAGGTTTTCCTCGATTTAGTTGGACCATTAGATAGGGATGAGAATGGAAATTGTTATATTTTAACTCTCCAATGCAAGCAAAATATATAGAGGCGTATCCATTGCCTAATAAAGAAGCTGTTACAGTTGCAGAAGCTTTTGTAAGTAACTTTATTTTAAGATTCGGTATTCCGAAATGTATAGCTACAGATAGGGGGACAGAATTCATGTCTCAGGTTATGGAACAGGTATGTAAGTTATTAGAGATCGATAAGTTGTCGTCAACCGCATACCACCACCAATCAATCGGTTCTCTTGAGATAGCTCATAAACATTTAGGTGCGTTTCTAAGAACTTATTGTACTAATTCGAATTTTTCATGGTCCCATTGGGTTCCATTTTGGTGTTTTAGTTATAATAATTGTGTGAACACTCAAACTAAGTACACTCCTTTTCAACTTGTTTTTGGTAGACAATGTCGTTTGCCAAATAATTTGAATTATGATGTTGAACTACTTTATAATCCTGATAATTATTATTTAGATTTAAAATATAAATTGCAAGTAGCCTTAAGAGATGCCAGAAATAATTTTATAACTTGTAAGGAAAAAAGGAAAGATAAATATGATGAATCATGTAATCCTGTATTTTATAATAAGAATGATCTTGTTTTACTTAAAAATGAATGTGCTCGTAAATTAGATTGTGTTTTTGATGGACCTTATAAAGTAGAAGATTGTAGAAGATTTAGGAGTAAATGTGAAAATTGATATAAATGGTAAAATTGACATTGTTCATAAGAATAGGACTAAGAAATTTAGTAGTTAAGAATATTATTTTTTTTTTCTTCTCTTTTTTCCTTTGCCCCCAAAGGTGAAGTAACCTACGTACTTGTAGGTAATATTCGATGTATTAGAAAGTAAGCAGTATTAAATAAACACTCGAGTTGAACAAACGTGTTGCTCTTTCATTCCATTATTAATATCATAATTCAAAAGCATGGCTCTACCACGTAAAAAAATATAGTGCAATATGCTGTTTTATTGCTGATAATGGTTAATTGCGTAAGCAGGAGAGCAAATTGAACATCCATTCTCTCACCACGATATTTCCAACAAGTGTAAACGACTGTTGATTCGACTCTACACTTCACCTACCGGTACGAAGCTGCCACTCGAGAACTTTTGTTCCCCATCGGTTGTCGGTTCTTTGAGCTATACGACCGGCCCATTGCCACTTCAGCTTACTAATCCGTTGCTCTATGTCGGATACCAGCGTAGCCGCAATAGAACCAGCTTCTATTGCGGATATCCTCATTTCTAAGTTTATCACGCAGACAAACCCCAAGCATAGCCCTCTCAATAGCTATGGAAGCGATGGAGGAAGCTCAAGGTCGCTCAGCGGGCTCACTGAGCGATAGATAGAGAGCTTTTTCATACGCCCTGCAGTCTCAGATCCATAAGTTATCACTGATAACACGCACGTGTAAGCTTTATCCTAATTTATTTATCTAGCAATAATTCTCAATCAACTGTTTTAATACGATGTCAAATAATTGAGATCTTTATAATTTACCCCGTGTAGTGGCGGGTAAGAATACCCACTACCCCATATCTTCACGTGGGTGTTGTAAAAGGCGACAGAGGGAAACTGAGGCAGAAGATGGGCAGCAGCATCTTTCTAAAAACAGCAAAAAGCAATAAAAAATTGCGGTTGCCAACCCGCTTGCCAAGCGTGGCAACTATGGCAATATACCCCCTATGATAGTAACCAATAGACGGCCCGCCGTCCCCGGCGGCCCTGCCATTCCTGGCTACAGTGGCGACCATGGTAACGGCGGGGCGGGGCGTGCTAAGAATCTCCGGTGGAGGTTCAGTTGCCACCTAAGATGACTCAACCTGGCAACATATAACGCACTCACCCTGAGGACTGACGAGAAGATCCTGGGGCTGGAAGAGGATATAGACAAGTTGCGCTGGAATATTATAGGATTATCCGAGGTCCGAAGAGAGGGGGATGACATGGTAATCCTCGAATCCGGCAACTTGTTCTATCACTGGAAGGCGACCATCTGTCCCAAGGAGGTTTCGGATTTATCGTCCACAAAAGTCTCGTTAACAGTGTATCGACGAGGGTTGCGTACCTCTGTGTTGCGTACTCAGAAACATCAAATGGTATTCGCTGAAGGTGATATAGGTTTACGCACCAACCTCGGCACAACCCAATGAGGCGGTGGAGGAAATGTATGAGGGTATCTCTAGAGCCATGCATTCCTCCAAAACCCACTATACGGTGTTAATGGGGGACTTCAACGCAAAACTAGGCACAAAAGATAACGGTGAGCTGAAAGTAGGCAAATTCTGAATAGGGCAATAGAACCGAAGGGGCCAGCAGCTGGCCGATTTCATGGAAAAAGAGGGACTCTTTATGATGAACTCTTTCTTCCAGAAGCGGCCCCACAGGAAGTGAACCTGGTCGAGCCCCGATTGTTCGACAAAAAATTACATTGACTTCATTATGACGACTAGACGGCAACTGTTCAGTGAAATCTCAGTGATCCACCAGGTAGCAATCACCGAATGGTTAGAGTCACACTGAACCTCAATGTTAAACTGGAGAGATCTCGTCTAATGAAGTCAACGCTCCGTCACCCTCATACTCTAATCCAAAGTCCCGAAACCTTTCAACTCGAATTATAAAACCGTTTTCTGCCTAGAAGATTGCAATGCAGTGGACGATATAAATGATAAGCTAACTGTCCCTGCGGTCAGAGCTAAGTTTTGCAAGACCCGTCGCAGAAAAACTCAAAAACTCTGTGATCACACTGTGATTAAGAATCTCATGGCTGTTAGACGGGAAATGATGCTGCAGGCTTTAGCAGATTCGACAGCATACAGGCAATTGAACAGACAGATCTCCAAATGCATGCAGCGGAACTTACGCAAATTTCAACTTTCAAAACAATCTGCCTCTTTGTCTTGCGTATGTGGACTATGAGAAAGCCTTTGATTCCGTCATTTGGGCAGTGCTACAGTTCCTTCAGTGGTACCAAGTGAACTGTCGGTATATCAAAGTACTGAAGTGTTTGTACAGTAGGGTACAGAGCTAGAGTAAGAAACCTATCTAAATGCAGAGAGTTAGGGTGACGTTATATCCCCGAAACCGAAATAGCATCTTAATGCTGCTGTGTTTCGTATGGTGACTGGTGAGTGTAGAGAACTGGAAACCCACCCTATTTACTGAACACGAGGCATTCCTTCTTAATCCTCATGGGAGAAAACGCATCTGCATTTTGATTCGTAGTTGAGCATAGATGTAGATGTTTATGGACCACAGCAACCATCATCAGGTGGACTGTGTGCTCGTTTGTTACCCTTATCTTATTTTAAAAAAACCTCTGCCTCATGATAAAGTTAGGGCCAACCAGACATTATTTGCGCGAGCGACCTAATGCTGTTCAGTTGTATCTCTTAGTTTCCTATAGTTTTCTCAGTAAATTTTCACCGTTAAATAACTAATTTTCATGAGCCAGCTCACCTTGGCTCCTTCTTTCCAAAATGTATCACTGGAATATACCAACCGCCTTCAGTTGTTAGGGTTTGAGATATCCTCAAATCTGAAGCGTTTCATTGAGTCCAAGGCCAAAGCAGCTGCAAGGAAGCTAGGAGTCCTTGCAAAGGTGCGGCGATACTTCACGCCGGGACAGCTGCTTACTTTATATAAAGCGCAAGTCCAGTCGTGCATGTAGTATTGCTGTCATATATGGGCTGTGCTGCAAAATGCCACTTAGCAGCTTTGCACTCAATGGAAAGGTGTGCTAAGAGGCTTATTGGTGACCCGAATTTGGTTAAAACCAATCTTACCAGCCTCGAACACAGACGCAAAGTAGCCAGCCTTACCGTTTTCTACAGGATGCATTTCGGAGAGTGTGCGCAGGAA